GGCCCGAAACGTCAGCTTTCCTGCTCCTCTGATGCTGCTTGGCCTGCTGTGTTCATCCAGCTCTACACCTTGTTATTTCAGTTTCTGATCATGACTGTCTTCAAATCTCCATATTCAGATTTCTCAATTCATCTTGTGATTAAATCTTTCTAGCAATGAAAATTCAGATGCTATGCCTTTCTTTGCTTACTAGGTATTATTTTCCTCTGTATTAAATTAGCTTGCGGCAATGATGATTTTTCCTGCTTCCTTTGGAGTAATGGAGGGTTTCCCGTGTTTGAGACTTGTAATGACACCTACTGTGGTCTCTTCTCTCCTCAAAGAATCTCTTTGCTACACAAGAAATATTTCTTTAAATCTTGAAAACTACAAAAACTCCTCTGTTTGACTTCCAGATGGTTAATCTTCTTGCTTTGTGCTCCCAAAGTCTTAATTTTGGCCCTCCTTTGCTGTCACTTTCCTTTATGCATAATGACATCGCTCTGAATGGGAGCTGCAGAAGTTCTTATCTAGTTTGCCCATGCAGCCTGATTATTTTTGTACCATGTATTAGGTTTTTCCAAGCCTCCCAGATGGTTTCTTACCCAATCGCAACTTTCGCTTGGCTCACCAGCTTGCATCTGGAATCAAGACCATTTATACAGACAACAGCTTTACAATGAGGGTTGTCTTAAGTCTCTGTAAGTCCACCATTTCTGCAACTGTGCTCTGGAGTTGTAAGTTTTCTGGCACCATTACCTTCAGGCTGATTTTGACCTCTATGAAAGCAGGTTTTGTGTTTTCTTTCTGGATCTTTATATTACTAGTTGCCTCCTATCTATCCCTCAGCTACGACTCTGCTGTCTGCCTGCAGTGATATGTGGTAAATGAGGGCCATCCATTTCTTTCATCCAGCTTGTAGAAGTCTCAAGATTCAAGTAAAGTTAACAATAAAATGTTTGTTTTGTTACTGCACTATACAAAGATTACACAAGAACTTCCACATCTCTTCACGGACTGCCTCTCTTTCTCTCTACCTTCTGTCCATTTGACTGTCTATGTGACGTCATCACAGAGATTATTATACTGTCTCAGCTATCAATTCCAACAGACCCATTTAAAACAAAAAACATACATATATAATATATATACACTTGCATTTTCTTCTGAATGTCATTTCCAACTTGTATAATTATTACTGTTACTGCATCTTTTGAATTTCACAACATTTTATCTTCTAAACATCCAGCATCCTTCCTTCTGATTATCAACTGCTAAAGCAAAGGCGCTGAACTAAATCATTAGATGTGGGTTGAGGAGACAAGAACTTCCAGTGAGGAAACAACTGGGAGGTGAATTGGTCTTCATTGGAAGATTCTATGCAGTTCTTACAGATCATAAAACAGTCTGTTCTATGCTGTACCCACATTCCTTTTCCATTGACCTCATTGCAAAAGAACATCAAGTATGTTCTAAAATGGGCTGATTTGATTTGATTGATTTATCATCACGTGTACCCAAGTACAATGAAAAGCTTTGTTTACAAGCAGTACAGACAGATCAGAGTAAGCAAAGACATACAGATCATAGGGTGAAAAATAAATTAGACAGAGGCATACAGGTTACCTTGCACAGGGTGTGCACTAGGCAAGATCTGCATTATTTGAAGTTAGACAGTCCATTCATCAGTCCAATTCCCAAGGCAGTTTTTAATGCTACTAGTAAAGACTGATTATACCCCACCCCTGTATCTGATCATTCGTTCACACTGGTGAATAGATCTCAATCGTAAACTGTCTGTGGGAGTTGTCACTGATTAGTTTTCTGCCTGTGATACCTTGAGTTTCGTTTGTACTGATTTAGATTTCATATTAACCAGAGCGAAATCTAGTAATGTGTGGGCTGCCACTAGATAATGATCATTTAAAAAGCTGTTGGATTGTTGTAAAACCTCCCAATACACTAATGTCCTATGAAATGTGGTTAGATATGACTCCAGAAGGTGGGCAAATGCTAAAGACCTTAGGTCAACAAATATCACTTTGCCAGTGTCATGTTGCAGGAACAAATGAAAGAAGTTTGCATTATTATTAACATTTGCCTTACTAATGTTCGCATGTGCTCCTTACCTGAGCCTACTCATATTTGAATCCCTAAGTTTGTACCATTATTCATTTCTAAACATTTTTAACTCAGATAATATGAAAACCTCTGGCCATAATGAACACCAACATTAGTGCAATTCTATCCATCTTCTTATTGCTCATATAACCTTACGAGCAATTATCACATTCTCTTGAATTTTACAGGAATATTTGGCTTTACAGTTGATTATGGCATTGAACCTAAAGGGAAAATAAAATGTCAGCTTACCTTCTGAGGAGCAACTTCTCTGATTTTACTTTTCACTTGAGAAAGGAACATGTTGTAAAACCAGCTTTAAAAAGATTAAAAAAAAGTCTGTAATTAAATTCTTCGCTACTAATCCATTACTTGCTTCTAAGAGCGACTGAAATTGGAACCAGATTTTCAATTTCTTTATTAAAATGGTTGTAAAATTACTAATTTTTCCTGCGTAACCCTTTAAAAATTTGCCCATAGAATCTGAATGTCACTGGCAAGGTAAGCATTTGTCACTCACTCCATGTTGCCCTTGAGAAGGTGGTAGGGAGCTGTCTTCTTGAATTGGCACAGTCTATGAGATGCAGATTCAACTACAGTGCTGTTAGGATGGGAGTTCTAAGATTTTAACCCAATGACAGTAAAGGAATGATGATATATTTTCATGTCAGAATGGTGTGTGGCTTGCAGGGGGGCTCTTGTAGGTGGTGATACTCCAGTACATTTCTTGTCCGGTTGGAAGAGTTTACAATGTGCTGTCAGATAAGAGAATTGATATGAAAATTGGTGTAATGTCAATTCTGAAGATGAGTCATTCCAGACTTGGCATTGACTTTATTTCTCTCCACTGGTGCTATCAGGCCTGTCACCAACTACAGAAGGGCAGCACTTGACCTCCACTTGGGAAATAAAGCAGGGCAATTGATTGAGGTGTTAGTGGGGGAGCACTTTGGGTGACCATAATTCTATTAGTTTTAAAATAGTATGGAAAAGGATAGGCCTAGTCCACAAGTTAAAGTTCTAAATTGAGCAAGGCCAATTTTGGTGGTATTAGGCAGGAACTTTCAAAAGTTGATTGGGGTCACTGTTTGCAGGAGAGCGATGTCTAGCAAGTGGGAAGCTTTCAAAGGCAAGCTAACAAGAGTTCAGAGCCAGCATGTTCCTGTTAGTATGAAGGATAAGGCTGGCAGCAGTAGGGAACACTGGATGACTAGAGATCTTGAGGCTCTGGTCAAGAAAAAAAAGGAAGCATACAGACAGCTGGAATCAAGTGAATCCCTTGAGGAGTATAGGGAGTGTATGAGTACACTTAAGAGGGAAATCAGGAGGGCAAAAAGGGGACACAAGTTAGCTTTGTTAGAAAGGATAAAGGAGAATCCAAATAGATTCTACAAGTACGTTAAGGGCAAACAGTAACTAAGGAGATAATAGGGCTCCTTAAAAATCAACAAGGCTGTCTATGTATGGAACCACAGGAGATGGGTGAGCTCCTAAACGAATACGTTGCATCAGTATTTACTGCGGATAAAACCTTGGAAGCTAGGGAACTTGCAAAAATAAATTGTGATATCTTGAAAAGAACCTACAATACAGAAGAGGAGGTCCTAAAATACATTCAGGTAGATAAATCCTGGGACCTGATCAAGTGTATCTCAGGACATTGTGGGAAGCTAGGGAAGAAATCGCTGGGCCCCTAGCAGAGCTATTTGTATCGACAGCCACTAGTGAGCTGATGGAAGACTGGAGGGTGGCTAATGTTATGTCATTATTTAAGAAAGGCTGCAAGGAAAAGCCTGGGAACTACAGATGGGTGAGCCTAATGTCAGCGGTGGGTAAGTTATTGGAGGTGATTCTGACAGACAGGATCTACATGCATTTGGAGGGGCAAGGACTGATTAGGAATAGTCAGCATGGCTTTGCGAGTGGGGAATCATGTCTCATTAACTTGGTTGAGTTTCCTGAAGAGGTGACCAAGAAGATAGATGAAGGCAGAGTTGTAGACATTGTCTGTAAGGACTTTAGCAAGGCCTTTGACAAGATTCTGTATGGTAGACTGGTTAGTATGGTTGGATCACATGGGATCCAGGAAGAGCTAGCCAATTGGATACAAAATGGCTTGACGGTAGGAGACAGAGGGTGGTGGTCGAGGGCTGTTGTTCAGACTGGAGGCCTGTGACCAGTGGTATGCTGGAAGGATCAGTGCTAGGTCCAGTGTTGTTCATTATTTATCTAAATGATCTGGATAAGAATATAGGAGGCACGGTCACTAAGTTTGCAGATGACACCAAAATTATTGAAAAAGGTTATGTAAAAGTATAATGGGATCTTGACCAACGAAGCCAGTGGACTTAGAAGTGGCCGATAGAGTTTAATTTAGATCAATGCGAGGTATTGCATTTTGGTAAGACAAACTAGGACAGAACTTACACAATTAATGATAGTGTCCTGGGAGTGTTATCGAACAGAGACATCTTAGGGGTGCAGGTACATTATTCCTTGAAAATGGCATTATAGGTAGACAGGGTGGTGAAGAAGGTATTTGGCACGCTTGCCTTCATCGGTCAGAGCATTGAGTAAAGAAGTTGGGACATCATGTTGTGGCTGAACAAGACATTGGTAAGGCCACATTTGGAGTACTGCATACAATTCTGGCTCCCTACTACAGGAAGGATATTATTAAACTGGAAAGGATGCAAACAAAATATACAAGGATGATACTGAGACTGAAAGGTCTGAGTTATAAGCATAGGCTGGATATAGAGGAGTGATTACATAGAGGTTTATAAATCATGAGGGGCATAGATAAGGTGAATAGCCAAGCATTTTTCCCAGGGTAGGGGAGCCCAAAATTACAGAGCATAGGTTTAAGGTGAGAGGGGAATAATTTTAAATGGACATGAGGAGCAACTTTTTCAGACAGAGCATGGTGCGTAAAGACATTTGGACATGGTTAGGAAAGGTTTAGAGGGATATTGGCCAAACAGTGGAAAATGGGACTAGTTCAGTTTAGGAAACCTGGTCAGCATGGACAAGTTTGCTGAAGGACCTGTTTCTGTGCTGTATGACTCTATGACCTGCTGTGTTTCTCCAGCAACTTCTGTGTTTGTTTGGTATGTTATATGTCTCACAATGCATATACCTTGGATGTCCTACAAAATGAATACATGTTTCACAGTGTATTTCCTGGATGTTTTACATTGCATGTACCTTCCATCTTGTCCAACAGACCTACCTGCCCCCTCCGTGAAGCTGAAGGTCGAAATTGTTTAAACTGGCGGCACAATCATTGTAACTCAGTGCTGGTCGAGAGCTGTCCTCTGAAATGTTGACACTGAATGCAGCTAAGAGATCTTTGATGTTCAGGTTGAAGGTTCCACCATCTTTTCTATTGAAGGGTAACGTACATGTAAAAATTGCTTATACATCTGCCCCAGTGTGCCCCAGATAAATTATTTGATCCATATCTGTGTAGTTTGTTTTCTTCTAAATTGCCTCTTGTGGCCAAAACAAAGCAGCCACACAGAGTAATTCTGACACACAGACAGATGAATATCTCACAAACTGTTCAATATTGTGTGACTGGTAACAGTGTCTGCCCCTTGCAGAAAACTAAATAATTCTTTTATCTCTCTAGTGAACTCTGAATCCCTCAAGCATTTTCAAAAGCTTACCAGTTTGCCAATTTACCTGGTCAAAAGCTTTTTCATAATCTATAATGCAGTATATTTCCTGCCAGTATTCTATCCTTCCTTTGTTTAGTACTTTCATCACTATTACAGTCTCCTTGCCCCCACAGGCCATTTAATGGATTCTTACAGTTTCCACTTTAGCAAAACAGCAAAGAATACATCCACCAAAACATAAAGAATTGCACAGCACAGGAAGGAACAGAGGTCTTAAGAAATAAATGATCAAGATGAGTGTCTTATTGCCTCGATCTGAAATGTGAACTCTTCAAAAAAGCAGATATCTAAAACTGAAAATTGTGGAATGGGGTTCTGGAGAAAGATGGAGCAGATTGGTTGGAGAAACCAATGAAAAAGTTCTCAAGGTGCAGAGAAGGGAAGATCATCATAAGGTGACAAGATTAGATTGACCATATTGTAAGCCATGAGAACTTGCTGAAGATGACTATTGAAGGATGATTGGAGGTATATAAACCAAGAGGGAGAAAGAGAACAATGATATTAGACAATTTGAAACATGTGCACAAGAGTGCATAGATGGGCCTTGGTTTAAAGTCTTTTTTGAAAGATGACTGGCTCCTCTGAATTACAGTAACCTCTCACTATTGTGATTGAATGTCAGTCTTGGACCCACATCCTGTTAATACAAAGGCAAGTGTGGTAACACTGAGCCGCAGTGACATGTCACACCATTATATCACTCTTTCAGAGTTGGAATTCTCAAGTTTAATAATATTTCCGAAGTGTAACACCAAATATTTTTCTCTGTGTTACTTTTAAAAGGTATAAATATGGAATTTCTTAAATATAATTTGATAAAATGGATACATTGAAATACACTTCACGAAATGTTTTTTGTTTTGGAGTTATAGGAGCTAATCTACAGAACTAAGGGGAACTTGCTCATGTGCAGGCCAGCTCTAATGGCATCACTCTGCTGTTATTGAACAACAGCATGCAGACTTGGAATACGCACAGACTTGGAGACCAAGCTCCAAGCCATGTCAACACTTTCATTTAGTTGGTATGAGAGCAGGGTACTTATGCTAAACTGGTGTAAGACAAGGGTTCTCTGTCAACTTGACCCTGCCTCACTGCACTGCCCTCCAGATACCAAAATCCACAATGAGGCTTAGACAATGATCACCACTTTCCAGATCTTGGGATCTTACTGACAACAACGGGAGATATTGGCCACAAGGTTCAACAACACCTTCAATGTGGCAGTGCAGGCTTCAGTCGCCCGAGGAAGGGAGTATTTGAAGATCAGGACCTCAAACCCAGCACCAAGCTTGTAGTCTACACAGCAGTAGTGATACCCACCTTCTTTTATCACTCAAGGATGTGGACTGTGTACAGCACACCACTCAAAACCCTGGAATTATACCAGGATCCTGCAAATCCATTGTCAGGATGGATAAGCTAAAGTCAATATTTTCACAAAGGCCAATATTCCCAGCAATGATGCATGGATCAGGCTCAATCGGTTCTGCTGGGCAGGCTGCATCGTCTATCTACGAGATTCCTGAGATAAGCTTTATATTTGGAGCTTTGACACAGCAGGAGGGCAGAGGATTTTCAAATCCATTATTAAGGATGAGATTGCGGAGTACTTGGAAATGCATGGTAAAATAGGGCTGAGTCAGCAGTCTTTGTCAAGGGGAGGTCATGCCCCAAGACCACTCAAAGGAGGCACCTGGGAGAGATCTGTACACCATGAGTCTCATTGCCAACTGCAAGGTGAAGTCAAGCATTGGCAGAGATACGAGTGCATGGTAACCTGGCCATCTCACCCTCACATTCCCCCAACCACTGTCTGCCTCACTTATGACAGAGATTCCATGTCATGCCTGCATTCTCCAGTCACCTGAGAACTCAGTTTTAGTAAGGAAACAAGTCAGCCCCAGGCATGAGCAACTTCCTGAGAAGAAAGTGGGAATTAATGTGTGCAGCAGCCCCAACATGCTAATTTTTCATACACTCCTCAGTCAGAGAGATTGATATCGTATTGTATTTTGATTATGTATCTTCTACCATGCTAAATAGTTGAAACTGGGCTTTTGATATTTAACAGGACATTACACACTAACACCTTCATCACGCTATAAGGAATATAAAATGAAAACCTACATCAGCCCAAACGTCACATGCCACCGTCCATCAATCTCAATGTAGACTTTATCCACTGAAAATTTGACTCCAGTATTGGGGATGAATCCTATGTTGGAACTCGGCAATCCAAAATTTTTAAGGTGCATCCTGTAAATACAAACAAGCATTAGCTTTCCACCTTCTTGTAGTGATTGTACTAAGATCAGCCAAGTAGACCTCATAGAATATGAGCTCCCTGATTGGGGCTGTTAATCTGGTTCAATCAGGGAGCCCTGGCTGACAGATAAGAACAAGAATGTCAGAGGTTCTGTATACTCTGAAAGCTGGCTCTGAGGGAGCTGGATCAGTGTTAAGGACTCTCCACACTTGAGTAAAGGATGATTGGTAATGGGATTATAGCCTCTTTGGAGTTATTTTACTTCTCATGAACAGGGATGGAAAAGTATCATTTGCAGATTTATTTCAGACTAAACTGGAATCGTCTCTAAAAATATCACAAAAAAAATCGTAGCACAGCTCAGGAACTTTCAAAACCTTCAAAATGATGTTTATGACTTTTATTTGTAAAATAGCAGCCACAAAGGTAATCTGCAGAGTGCAGTGCAAATTAAAACACCACATTAGTGTTGATATGTAGATACACTTTCATAAAAGGCTCACAACTGATTGGAGTTCTGGTTGGTGAGGGTTTTTGGCATTTAGTGAAATAATATTTGCAATTCTCTTAGCTTGTAGGAATTCTGTTTTATCTGTTGCTGCTGAACTACGGTGAAGATCTAAATATAAGAAGCATCAGTCTATTCGTATTGAGAGACACGTCACCTCTTTTTAAAAATTTGATTGTAAAATGTTATTAGTATTAGAAAATAAAATTAGCCTACTCGGTTTACACCAAGATTCAGAAACAAGGAGATAATGAAAAAAGTATATTGCAAGTGTTTAAATCATGAAAAATAATTCTTAATTTGGAAAGATCAGTTGAGTGCATATTGCATGAGTGACATTTTATTGAAGTAAATTATCAACCTGTAATAGGATCTATCCAATTTGCAGCCTTTTAATTTCAGCTGGGAATTCAGTTGGACTAAATCCTGCACATACCATAGAAATGTCCATTTTTACCATAGAATCCCTACAGTGCAGACAGATGTCGTTTGGCCCATTGAGTCTGCACCGGCCCTCTGAAGAGCATCCCACCCTATTCTTGTAAACCCACATTTACCATAGTTAACCCACTTAACCTGCACCTCTTCGAACACTACAGGGTAATATAGCATGGCCAATTCACCTAACCTGCACATTGTTACACTGTGGGAGGAAACTACAGCACCTGGAGAAAACCCACACAGACACAGAGAGAACGGTAATTCCACACAGACGGTTGCCAAAGGCTGGACTTGAACCCAGGTCCCTGGCGCTGTGAGATAGCAGTGCTAACTTTTGTACCACCTTGTGCCATCCTACAGTACACCACACAGTAATTATTTGAAGTCAATTTCTGCAGCATGGAAATGGACTTTGAATAATCTTTTCATTTGGGTTATATTCATAATGATTATTTCTCCACGGGGATTTCCCCATCTCATTACTTATGGTTTGTCTGTGGTTTATATCTAACACAGTATTACTGCAGGTGAGAGGGAAGACGTTTGAAGGCAGGTTCCTTGATTGGAAAAGATGGCTTTTGGCACAACAGGGGCCATATACTTCTTTGTGCAAGTTCACAAGATGGCTCTGCAACTGTTTGCTTCACATCTGAGAGAAGTGAGTATTTACATTTCTACATGTGTTAGTTTGGGGACATAGATGTTGTATCAGTCTTTAGGTGCAGGTACCTAATCTGTTTCTAATCCCCCCATGTTCCTGATGTTGTCTACACACTTACAAGTACCATGACTTACACTGAAGAAGGGTGGGTATTATAATTAATTATTGAAGCCTGCACAAGGAAGCTGTCCAGAGAATTATTTTGAATTATGTCAATACTGTGTAAGGGCTTTAGGACCCTGGATGAACCTTGCAATGATATCACAGAGCTGCTACTCACTGGGCATACATAGCACAGCATGGATGGGCTAAATTAAGCAGAGAGAAACACAGAGTAAGTTAAGCAGAAGCCTAACATTTAGTGATATGGATGTTAGAAACACAGTCAGGGAAGTATTTGGAGTAGACTGATTAGCATTAGGCAATGGAGTTTAAGCAGCAATTTTTTACATGACGTAACAGTAAGATGAGAGCCTGGTATATCTCTGAATGCCTTTATTGTAGTACAGGCAGTTCTGCTATAATGTATGTTTCATTAAGGCAAATTGGCTGTAACATGATTGATGAATAGTGGATGCTGTTTGTATAACATGAACTTACTGCTGTATGGGTATAGGGATTTTCTATAGCGATTTTCCCTATAACGTGATTTTCTACAGCATGATTTTCTATAGTGTGAGGTCACACGAGAATACAATTATCACGTTATAGGAGAACTACCTATATGTCAACTTAACATGTAATATAGAGTGCTATAAAGAAGCTTAAACCTGAAAACCATACTTGACCTTGCCTTGTCCTTGACCAGTCCATCTTGAAACCAACCAATTGGATAAAACCATAGCAAATGTCTCAAAGGATAATCATGCTTTGAAGAAGGAACTGGTCATTGAGATGCTACATGCTGCATTCTGTTTTCAAAAGCTGTTAAACATTACTGAACAGATGTAATGAATGGACCCCTCTACAGAAGTCGTCATCAGCAAACAACATTCTCATAAGAAAGATTTTACGCAACATAGTTGTTGAGGCAATAAAAGTAGAACATAAACATTTAGAAAACAGAATATAGAAGGATACAGGCATTTTCCAAAAGTAAGAAAGATTGATGCTACAATCAAGGTATATATAGTCACAATGATTCTAAGAAAGAAAAAGATGCACACAGACATAATTTCCCAATACAATGATAGAACATTTATTTCTGAGGGCTGAATCTTACATTTTTTTTGGCTAAGCCTGAGTTGTGTCAGGTTTTTTGAGGGATTCCCACCACAAAGTCCAGTGGGATTTCTCACTGTGTTTTATCAAACACACATCATTAAGTACCTACCCCAGACTATAACATCCCCCAAGTCCGATTCTGGTCCCATCTCACCACACAATGTTCTCAGAACAACTCACCGCTCAGTGGATAGCTGCCAAAAAGATGGGCAACCTTTGCATCTGCACCATCTTTAAAAGGTGAACATGGACTCTGAAGATGTTCTGCTTGGTGAAGTATGTTTCTAGAAGATTTCAGAGAAGGGGAAAACAAAAACACGATTCTCCAACAAGGACCTCGAGGTCTTGGTTGAGGGTGTGGTGCAAAGGAGAGGAGTCCTTTTCCTGGAAAACTGGCAGAGGAGCAGACCTTGGCAGCCTGGTCTGAGATCATCGTCTGGGCCAGTACCATCTCAGTGGTGCAGAGGAATGGCCAACAATGTCATAAGAAGGTCAATGAACTTCTCTCCTCCACCAAATTAAATGCCACACTCTTCTCTCTGCTCACCCATGTTCACTCCATTTCTGCTACTGCATCCACCTCTCATCAAAGCTCATGGTCTACCACCCCCCATTGTTGCATGCAACAACTTCACCACTCACTGTCATCTATCCAAGCCCCTGCCACACTGCATGCCCTCTTCTCTATCTATTCACTGACTCAGGACACCTCACCAACTTTCATCCATCTGCACTAGCACTAACAGCCGTGCCACCCAATTTCATCTCACCCACCCTCCTGTTCTCTCATTCCGAGAAAACAACCCATAAACAGGACACAGAAAGTGAGGACAAGTGGAGGTGTGTCTGGCATTAGGTTCCTCACCCTCCATGAGGAGGGAATCTTAGCACTTACAGGAGAAGACCAAGACTGCTCCTGTGGGGATATCCCACTAAATGAATATTGCTACTGTTCCTTCCAATGCAACTCTCACATTAACTCAACTGTCAGTCTTATTCATTGCACACTGCATCTGGCCATTGGCTGTGATGCCTTCTTTCTTTTGTGTCCTGCAAGTACTGCCAAATCTCTACCAGCACCATACAGAAAGCCACAAGATGACAACATATAGGTACAGAATTAGGCCATTTGGCCCACTGAGTCAGCTCCACCATTTGATCACGGCTGATATGTTTCCCAAACCCATTCTTCTGCTTTCTCCCCAAAAACCCTTGATCCCCTTACTAACCAAGAACCTATCTATCTCTGCCTTAAATACACTCAATGACTTGGCCTCCACAGCCCTCCATGGCAATGAGTTCCACAGATTCACCACCCTCTGGCTAAAGAAATTCCTCCTCCTCTCAGTTCAAAAGCGTCATCCCTTCATTCTAAGGTTGGCTCCACCAGAAGCTACCTGCCTGATGTTTAAGGGTGAGAGAATGGAGGCCTTAGAGGAAACATTGATAAGGCTGCTTTGTGCACCCCTTAGTAGAAAGCTGAGTAGAAACATTAGCATTGGAAAGGGTAGGTTTACCATCTGGTGGGCACTTCACAGTGACAGCTCTGCAGCTGGCCGCAGAAGAGATGCCTCAGGTCACTGGCACTTGGGGACGCCTGGAGACCAGGCACCTGCTCAGCCCCAGGCATGAGAGGACCCTGTGGTGATAGCAATCAGGGACTTCAGCCACATACACATGGAGAGACAGGAGCGACAGACAGGTATCTAGGACACAATGGGCCTCATTGCAGCAAATTATACACTGGTTTCCTACCTCCACCGACAGGTCGGAGAGCCAGGCTTAGCCCCCTCGGGATCTGCTGGAGAGGCACACAGACCTGCATCCCAATGAATAGTCCTCATGACAGAAGGCATGGTGACAAAGACATGAGGAACCTGGCATGCACTCCTTGTGCCGCTTCCTCACAGGAAGGTAGGGAGGTGCAAGAAGGGCATGTGCTCCTTGGAAATCTCCACTCAGAATGTGTCAGAAGTAACCTCCACCATAATGGTTGAGACGAGTTGCAAAATGCTGGATGCCAATATCCATGAAGGAGCGTCTTGGATTGTGTCCTGAGATGCCGTTTGGTTGTCAGCATCATGGAGCTCCTTCCAAGCAAGGCCTGAGCTGAAGTTGCCAGGTACCTGATCTAGTTTACATGTCATGTTTTCTCACCATCTAGTTTAATTGGCGTGTTTGGTAAGCTAGGAAGCTGATCATTAATAAGATGATTTGGGCTAATAACAGTGTTTAATATGCCATAATGGCCTTTAATTGGTGACTCGCTACGTCACTTGGCAGATGCATACATATAAATCAGTTGGAGGCATGGACAGAAAAATGGCAGATGGAGTTTAATCCAGACTAATGTGAGGTAGTGCTCAGAATCCTTTAAGATTCTGCCCTCGGTCTTTTTTTGTATTTTTTGATGTGTGCTAATGAAACTATAACTAATACAATTAATTCAATTCTGGATGGAATATTTTAAAGCACACTTAACCTGCAGGACCAAGACTATGCACCAAGTGCTGGAAAATGGGATTAGTCTGGAATGCTGCAATTCATCCAGAGAGAAAATGAGTTGTAAATTTTCTGATACCATCGTCACCTTGCAACTTTAAAAAGGAATTGAAGCTCAGCAGTCTGTAATACAGTAAGAGAATTTGACACAAAAAAGGCTATGTTTACCTCTTGTCATACATACCCTGTGATACGATAGTTTATCCACCCCAGTAGGTCTATCGACCCACTTAAATCTGGCAGTTGAAACCCTTTAATCTTCTCCTCAGCAACAGTGATGGCAATTTGCTTGGCTAGACATTTTGAAGCAGGAACACAATAAATGAAACACGTTGAACATTTTAAATTAAATTCAAATAAACCCTTTGACCCGCATCAGAAAGCTGTTCAACAAGATGAGATTGAGCACAGAAAGCACATCTTTAAGAACAGCCAGAAGACAGATTCAATGATATTTCTAGAGATCAGAAAGTTGACCAGAGATTATAAGTCTGCACAATTTTAAAGTTAATTCATGGCTGTGAGCATCACTGGCTAAGTCAGTATTTATTACCAATCTCTGATTACCCTTGAGAAGTTAGTGATGAACTGCTTTTCAGATCCACAGCAGTAGATGTGGTGTGGGTACATCCACAGAACACATAGGGAGGATATCTAGTATTTTGACACTGTGGCAGTGACAGAATGGCGATATAGTTTCACAATAGGAATATATATATACATATTAAGAATAACATTTATTTTCTCTGAATATATTCAGGAGGTAACATCAGGTTGCATTTTAAAATGCGTTGAACTTCATTTTCACCAGTTACTAACTATATGAATCATTTTAATCTGTTAAAAGCATCAATCATTTTCTCCATAATTGCCATATAGTGACAATACGACTTTAAGAGATGTATTTTGTCCTGTTTTTTTAAAGTTGACCCAGAGGTGAGAGCAGCCTGTTCCAAGCCAATAAAGTAACAGCTTGTGAGGCCTTGGGGTTTTGTTTTAAAGTTGGACCAATAGAAGCAGCCTGAAGGGGTGGGGTCAAGTTCCCACAGAATTAGGATTTTAGTTTAGCTTTCAATAGCTATTTGGGTTTGGAAGCTGCTATACACCTCTCCCTGCTACAGAAAAACATTTGAGTTCTCTCTCTCTCTCTCTCTGAGTTTTCTATTAATGTTCTTTCCTCCTGGACCAGAGAATTTGATGTGAGACAATCTATTTTACTGAATTTGCCTTGGCCAAGGATGTGTTTATGGGATGTTACTGTATAGGAATATCTAATCAGTGATAGTTAAGTATTTTGAAAGAGTTACAGTTAAGCAATTTTTAAAAATTCTTATTTTGTATATTAACTGGGGTGTAAGAATAAAAGTATGCTTTGCATTAAGCCTGGTAGTTTGACCAATCAAATTGCAACTGGAATACAGTGCCTTTTAAATAAAAAAAAAGTTGGGGTCTAGGCTGTCTTCTTAATATATTTTGAGCGGTTTGGTCTTGTCCATATCAATAATCATTAATACAGTTTTTCTTACAGAAAACAAATGATAAATTAGGTAAAGTTTTATTGAACAATTTTCCTTTCATATGAATGTTCTAACAAATGTGGGAACAGTTTATTTTTTACGGAATTAAAGTAAAATTAGTTTGCAAAAAGGATAATATTTCATACTGAGCAATTACAATAGCATAACTTCCAAATGGGCACAGATTTTGTGATAAAAATAACAATGAGGCTATCAACACCCGTTATTATTAAAGTATAAATGAGACAGCAATATACAATAACCATACTTGCAGAGTTAATGTGGCAAACAGGAAGTTGGTGTCCAAGATTTCCTGTTTTTCCAGGAGCTGGCATACCACACAGTGTTCAGGGGACTCAATTTCTTAAACTTATATGAATGACTTGGATGAAGGAATCAAAGGGATGGTAGCTAAATTTGTTGTTGTTGCAAAAATAGATAGCTAAGTTTGTTGTGAGGACGACAGAGGGTTATACTTCGGTTAAATGAGTTTGCAAAGATCTAGCAAATAGAGTATAATGTAGCAAAAATGTGAAATTGTGCAATTTGGCATGAAAAATAAAAAAGAAGCATGTTACATGAATGGTGAGAGATTGCATGAGACAATCTGTGATGGCTTTATTTGTAACTGCATTGGACAGTGTTGAAGACACAGCTTGCTGGCAAGCAGACAAATTCCCCATTGAGAGGCCAGTTTAACTCACTTGAGGAAGGCAAGTGTTCAGGATGCATGCTGGATCAATAGCATGCAAGCAAAGGTCAAAAGCACATGTCTGAAAGTCCATACAATTCCCTAGTTTATAATGGGACGCTACAGCCCTCCCAACAGAATTAAAAATGTTTATAAACAGTGTTCAGAGCTAGACTTGGTTGTGTCCAAAGCACTGGTTTGACCTTGACTGGGGTATTGTATGCAATTCTGCGAACCACAATTCAGGAATGAAGGTGGCTCTGGTTGTTGGAGGTTATCATTTCACTTCAAGGACATCTTTGCAGAGTCGTGACCTACACCTAACCATTTTGAACTACTTCATCTATAATCTTCCTTCAATCTTAAGGTCAGAGGTGGGGATGTTTGCTGATGATTGAACAACGTTCAACAGCATTCTTAACACCTCAGATACTGAAGCAGTCTATGCCCGGGAAGACCCGGACAACATTCAGACTTGGGTTGATGAGAGGCAATAACATTTGCACCACACGTCAGATAATTACTACCCTCAACGAAGAGAAAATCCAACCATCACCATGTGACATTCAGTTGCATTATCATCTCTGAACCCCATTTAACTTGTTCAACATTCATTCCCTCTACCACTGATGCATAGTGGCAGTAATGTTTACCACCTACAAAATGCGCTGGAACACTCATCGAGGATTCTTAGACAGCCAGATCGACAACTTCTACCAAGCACAGAACTTACATGGAAAGACCACCAACTTCCACATTCCTCACTGAACCACACACCATCCTAACTCGGAACTATATTGTGATTCCTTCTTTGTCACTGAGTCAAAGTCCTGGAGCCTATCTTCCTAATGGTGCTGTGAGTGTGCTTACACGATTGCACCATTCAAGAAGGTGGCTCGCTTCTCCAAGATAATTAGGGTCAGGCATTAAATGATGGCGAAGTCGGAAATGCCCATAGCCCATGGATAAATAATAAAAGAAGAATGTGAAGGCATCAGAGAGTGTGCATAAACAATTACAAGATTTTTTCTGAGATGCTTCAGTTAACTGGATAGATTGGACGAGCTGGGTCTGTTCTCTATAGAAATTGGAAGATTAAGAGGAAATTTGATAGATGTGTTCAAAATCATGAGCAGCTTAGACAAGGTATATGGATAAAAACTTTATGGAAGGGTCCAGAACCAGAGAATCTCGATTTAAAGTGATTTCAAACAAATTACAATGACAGGAGGAAACATTTTTAGCTCAGTGACTGTTAATGTCAAGAATGTACTGCATGACTGCACGGTGGAAGCAGATTCAAATGAGGCCTTCAAAAAAGAATTGGATTATTATCTGGAGGAGCATTTTGCAGGACCACGGGGTAAATATATGGGAGTAGGATTAGGTGAGCTGCCCTTGCGGAGACCTGACTTAGATATGAGGAACTGAATGGTGTCGTTCTGTGCTGCAATCATTCTACAATTCTATTGTAGGAAGTCACATTAGCAATCCACAGCACCCATAACTTATCAAACTCATTGTACAAGTACCTGTCCAATTTTCTGAGCCAGATCCACTGCATAGGAGCCTAAAAAGATTGTCCACGCCCTTGACCAGAGTTTGAAAATGACACAACAAACTTGTTGTCAATACTTAACTCAGTTCAGCCCCATCAGTTTATCCTCCCTTTATGACTTATCCATTTTCTTACTTCCCTTGATCTTGTTGAAACTTTGCATCAATTGCATTTTTGTTTTAAGACAGACTTGTAACAGTTAAGTCACAATACTTTGTCAGTTTATAATCGCAGAGATCTGCTTTGACTGAAAGTGAAAGGATACATTGAGAATTTTTAACAAAATTATTCAAAGCGTACATACCATACTCTAAAGCCTTCTGTGTGATTTTACTTTGAATTCCTGGATTAAGTCCGGACTTTCCAATTGCGGTTCCAATCAGGACAAGAGTAATACAGGCTGACAGGTTCATTTTACTGATGAACGTTTAGTTTAATCAGGGTATTGCTGCAAAATATGACATTAAATAACAAAGTGTCCTGTTATTAGGCGAAATGTTATTCTAGTTTTTCCACAGTTTACACATATATCAATAATGATAACCAATGTTAAGGATGACACGGTCAAAATAAATTCTGCTTCTTAATGCCTAATTCTGGTGGTCTCAACAATCGTCTACAGTGATTGTTAAATGGCATTGTTTCTTGTATAATTATATACCTATGATTTACAGGATTTGTTGTCGTTGATTCCAATTATTTTACTGAGATAATATGACTTTCAAAAAAGGCTAATAAAAAGTTAACTTTAGGCCAAATATGCTTTCCAAAATTAAATTCTGCATCACACAGCATAAATTTCAAAGACATTAAGCTTGTCAGGTCCTACATTATGTATAAAAACCATACAAACAGTTCTGATGCTGACTTTCATAAACTATCATTTGAAACAAATATATTACAGTCATAAAACTAAGGACCTTGTACTTAAAAAAGCTTACCTTCTCTACAGTGAGAGTATCTGTATGGTTCAAGTGTAACTGATTGGGGATGTGAGAAAAATGTACGTTTTCAATGTATTTTTAATTTCATTTTTACAGAAACAGGAAGAAGTGTTCGACCAATAACAGAATGCCATCATTGTGTTAAGTGTCAACTATGTTATGCTTAGCTCACATCTTCAAAACAGGAGCTTTGAACTCTTTCTGATCTTGATCCCTTTCACGATAAACCTTCCTAGGCTATCTGGTTTTCTTGGGCAATAACGCAGCCGAGGTTTTAGGCAGGACCCCACTGCGGCAATGGTGAGCAACGAAGACAAACAAGTTAATTATGAATTAAGGCATTTCATAGAATCCCTACAATGTGGAAACAGGCCCTTCGACCCAACAAGTCCACACCGACACTCAGAGCATCCCACCCACACCCATCCCCTTATAACCCACCTAATCTACACATTCCTGAACACTATGGGTAATTTAGCATGGCCAATCCACCTATCCTGCACATCTTTGGACTGTGAGAGGAAACCAGAGTGCACCTGGAGGAAACCCACACAGACATGGGGAGAACGTGCAAACTCCACACAGACAGTCACTCAAGGGTGGAATTGAACCCAGGTCCCTAGTGCTGTGAGGCATCAGTGCAAACCACTGTGCCACCCCAATTAAGGCATTTGTGAAAGAGTAGTGACTACAAAAGGCAGTGACTCTGTGGTTAGCACTGCTGCTTCACAGCACAGGGACCTGGGTTTGATTCCAGTCTCAGGTGACTGTGTGGGGTTTGCACATTCTCCCCATGTCTGCGTGTTTCCTCCAGGTGCTCTGGAGTGCTAACCACTGAGCTACCGTGAGCTGCACCAATGCAACTCTTGCCTACACCATTTCTTTAGACACTCAAGCCCCCATTATTTTCTTGAAGTCAGGCCCGTTTTGGTAAGAGATGTTAACTAATGGCATCCCAGGGAAGTCTTGAGGCACCTTCCAGCAGATAAGTTAAAAAGGCATTGAGAACTTTATGTCATCATCCATTAGTGTATGTACATATGCTTTCTTAACTGGCTGTCCAATAAAGTTGTCCTGTCATGCTGAATGTCATTTAGAATGGTGCGTCTTTTGTTGACATAGTCACGTTTGTTAATGATGTCTATTCCAGTCTCTTTGTCAAATATCCAGATTGATCTTGAGGCCTCACTTCACTGTGAGACATTTAGTTTGCATGTGAAAATTGAACAGGTTATTTTGAGTCACACAATATATGTGCACTAGATCAACTCGATATGCCTTCAAGCAGTCACCGTGTTCAGTGAACACTGGCTTGTGGCAAAAAAACCATGATTAGAGAAGTTTGAACTCAGCAAATATCTCTTCCCATTTGACATAGAGTGAAGGCACACCAAAATTGAAACCCTGCACAAGGACAAACTTCTCACTTTCGGCCGGTGTGTGATCAGAGATGTACGATATATTTAGTGACATTGGTAAGTACATCACCAAACCATGTCTGTTTAAAGTGACTTATGCTGCTGGCATGTTTTGAACAGGAATTGTTTATGGCACAAACATCCATTGAAGCAATATAATGGCAAAGGTGAAGCAAATTGAAAAATTAGTTTACCCACTACAGGCCAAGCACAGAAAAGAGCATGGTATAAATTAGTAACCCAATGACCAATCTGTGCAATCTGTTTAGTTTTGATTCCAGTGATACGTAGGACTTCAAATTACCCTTATACTGGCTTCTTTTTATGCCTTATGTATAACAAGTAGCATTTGTGAAAATTTATTGCAGCTGTTTGATATTACAAAGATTGCTTTTTTGTTCACACCACTTGATTAGCTTTCCACGCAAGAGTCAAGATATTTAGCCATGCATCCTAGAGAAAAAAAAAATATTTTGCCCAAGTTAACCCGGTGGGTGCAATCAAAGCAGGAAGTGGAGTTTTTCGATTCAGGTATTTGCAAAATAGAAAATCGGTCTTGTTGCAAATATGTCCACCAAGAATGTGTTTACATTTCATAATCCATTGATGAATGCGTAATTCTTCACCTTGGTTGCAGCAAAATGTACACAATGGGACATTAAAACAGAGACATCTAATAGTGCTGGTAGTTGTTTGGGTAATTTTTAAACCTTAAATTCAAAACAGTCACAGCTAAATACTGACATGAATCTAACCACTGCAGTACTACAGATAATGACATTAGTTGTAATTTTGATAGGCACAAATTAGTTCACAAAACCAGTAGTTTTATTTAAAAAAATTCTGGAACAGCAACCACTAAAAACAGAAAAAAGAAAGCTAGAACAAAAACAGATTTCCAATAATTTCAGTTCTTCTTTTACTTCAGTAAGATTAGTAGCTTTGTAATTATCCTGGAAGTTTTTCCCCCCAAATTGATGCCCCCTTCTGTAATTTTTAATTTAAAATATTGCATATTAACACTTCTAGTCTGTGTGAAAAATATGATTAGGAAGTGCAGGAGGCGGCCATTTGGCCTTTCATTTGCACAGGCTCTCCAAATCAACATCTCATCTTGTGTCATTCTTCTGCCTTCTCCGGTCACTGTTGTTTATTTGAAAAAGAATAAACTTTTGAATGCCTCCATCATACTCTCAGGCAGTGGATTCAAGACCCACATGATTCGTTGCGTGACAAAGTGTTTCATCACATCATTTTTTGCTTCCTTTACTAATTAGTTTAAGTATATGCCCTCTCATTCCTGAGAGCATTTCACACGAGAACATATTCTCCTTATTTGCCTTTTCTGAATTTCTCATGCGTTTGAACACTTCTCAGCATCTGCTTCTTCAATCTATCTCTGTAACTGAACTTCCTCATTCTTGAAACCATTTTTGTAAACCTCTTTGGCTTTCACATCCTTCCTAAAGTGCAGCGCCTAGAAGTGAATGCCTTACTTCTGCTGAGATGTGTCTTCTGAGTTAAGCACGGACTCCATACTCTTGCAATCATGCTCCTATTAATAAATTCCAGGTTACTGTAAGCTTTTTAAACTGGTTGCCCAACATGCTGGTCTAATTCATGCTGCTCTGACTAAATTTTTGCCTTCTTTCTTTGTGGTCAGATACTGCCACACTTTGAGTTTCTCCAGCACTTTGTTTTTGTTTGATTCCTAGCACCTGCAGTTCCTGGTTATAATTTATCATACCAGCCTAAGTTGACTGTTCCAAAGTTGATTCTTCAAACCTGTGCTCTAGAAAATCTTAAAAATGTACTCCAAGCTAATTTTGCTTTCCAGTCTATAAAATTTAATAAGATTAAAGCCCCAACAACCCCATACTCTTACTACATACTCCTCCAATTGCCTGATATATACTCTGCCCAACAACGTGACTACTGCAAGTTAGTTATCAGTTGCCTAGTAAAGTACTTGCTGCCCTTGTGACTTCAGAACCTGATTTTCCAGACAAGGATTCTTCTACTACTTTCATCTCATTCTTTATGATCAGTGCTCACACATCTTTTCAACAATTCACATTTCTAGGAGTATGTAGCTTGCAACATTGGACACTGAAACTTACATCTCAATTATGAAAAAATTCAACTCATTTCTTTTTTCTGCCATTAACTAATATATAACCTCTTCATATATCCAAATGCAGTAGCTTTAACTTTGTACTATTTTCCTTGTTCATTAAAGCCAGTTAAAGTAGGAACATAAGGCTTCAGATCAGGAGTAGGCCAATGTTAAATCTGTCCTATTACTCATATCACAACTGATCTGATTGGCTATAACTCCACTCTTCCATCTATCCTCAACAAGATTCCACTCCCTTGTGCATCAAAAATCTGTCAAAATGTGTCAAATAAATTCAACATGCACTGTTTTCTTGGGAAGAGAACTACACAGGTGCTCAGAGAAAAAGAAAATTCTCATCTCCTACCCAAAATGTTAAACAACCAAAAACTGGGGAAACTCAGCATCTGTGGAGAGAAGAGAGTTTGAGCTCAGTGATTCTTCTTCAGTGCTAGGAGAAGGTGGTTATTTATGCTGATGATGGGGGGTTGGGTGAAAGGACTGAGTGAATAGGCAGACAGAGCCCAGATGAGTAAGTGACACAGAGACACACAATAGTCAGACAAAGGGATTGTGGATCATAAGGCAGGCAAGTTGAGAGGCCAAATAGATGATAACGGGGATTAATCAGTACTTTAAAATGGGCTGGTTGTATTTGAAGGCAAACCATTTCATGACAGGACCTGGGGTTGCAGAGTTAGTAATTAACAAGGAAGGTGGTGATCATGTTCTGAAATTGTTAAACTCGATGTTGAGTCCTGAAGGCTGCCCTGCAAAATCTATTTCAGCACTTTCTCCATGACAGATGTTAACTAACTGGCCTGTAGTTTGCTATATTCTGTTTCCTTCCCATTTTCAATAACAGAATTACATGAGATATTTTTTGAATGGGACCACCCCTAAACCAAGAAGTTGTGAAAAACTACAATAAACGCATCACCATCATCCATTTCTTTAAAGACGCTGAATTAAGTCCATCAGAACCCTGGGCACTTGTCAGTCCATAGTTTCAACAATTTACTCAGTACCACTTCTCCCATGAGTATGATTTTCATAGAATCATAAAAGTACAGAAGAGGCCCTTCTGCCTATCCAAGTCTGTACTGCCAAAAATTTACCAATTCTACACTAATTCCGCTGTCCAACACTTAGCCCACAGCCTTGAATGTTATGGCACTTTAAGTGCTCAGGCAACCTTTTTAAAAGAGGTTTTGAGGTTACCCGTCTCAACTACCATCTTAGGCAACACATTTCCATACTCCCACCACACTCTGGGTTAAAAAAGAAATTTCTTTAAATTCCTCTGCCTTTCACTTTAAAGATGCATCCCGTTGTTATGGGCCCTTCAACTAAGGGGAACAGCCACTTTCTATCCATGTCCATCAACCTTATACACCTCTATCATGTCCACCCTCAACCTTCTCTGCTCCAAAGAAAACAACTTGACCTTATCAGCCTCTCTTCATAGCCAAGACAGCCCTTCCCAGACAACATTTACCTGGCTTCAATCCC